GTCATGCCTCTGATTTCCTGCTAAAAGTTAACCAATTTTTGGTTTGGAGAGGCATACAAAAGAGATGCATGATTTTGTCTGTGTTTTATTTTTTCTGTTGGGATTGGCAACCACTTTGTTGAATCTGACTGCTATAAATAAAATTGTAGGTTTGTACCCATGCCCTCAGAGGTTACTGGCATAATGATATTAAATAAACTAACTGTATGACTCATTATACTGAGCACTAAAATCTCACTGTATGAGCATTTCCCATCAAAAACTGATAAAAACTGGCAACCATGTAATATACTTAGGAAAGTTTAAAAACTATACTAGTACCTTAAGTAATCTTTAAAAAACCCTGAAGAACAATAACTCAAATCTTACTCTAAACACTTATTTTGACAAGAATTTTAAAAAGTTAAAGTGCCATTTGGAAGCCATATTCTTAAGTTTGCAGACTCACAACACATTTTCTCCAGAGTAACACTAGATTTTACTCCTCAGTAAGCTTATTCTGCATTCAGAACGAACAGCTCTTTCAAGCTGGCCAGCCCAAGAACTGTCACTCTACCTGGTCCTGAGGTGGAAAGGGAACCAGTTTGCAAAAGGCTATCCTGGCATGAAACTGAGAATGGTAGCAGTGACAAGGCATTATACACTATACCAACTTGTGTAAAAAATGTACTTTCAACTTCCTCAGCTTTGCACCTCAGAATCTGATTTCCTCTGATGTAAGCATGTAATGAATCTGCATCCTAGGACAGCAAACTTATCTTCATCCCCTTATTTGAAATTAAATAGCTAAGAGGACTGAAGAGGATGATATAACTACTGGTTTGAATACAATCCAGGATACTAGCAAAAAAGTGTCTGACAGTTAACTGATATAGTTTAAAGTGTTAGAATATCAGTCCAGCTTCAAGTGGTTCTTGTAGTATGGACACTAGTCCATTATCTTAATTGGTGCTCACTGGCAGTCCCAGGAAAATGGCCAACATTGTGTCAGGAACACAGCGATCCTCTCATTCTAGAGATCTTTCTAGGACAGGATTTAAAGCATATTAGCATGGAATTGGGTGGAAGTTTGCAGTGGGCATTGCCCATCCTGTAGATAGGTTAATTTGATTACCATTGCTTCCAATACAGTACTTTCCAGGTCACAGAAGTCATTTTTTTAAGACTTCAGTACCATATAGGAGAGAATTGGCATTTATTTGGCATTTGTTATCTTGCTGTATGTTTAAAAGGCTTGCATGTATGGATGCCTAAACTGATGTTGTATGTTCATTTAAACCCTTGAAACAATCTTGAGACAAAACTGAAGGATTACCAGTACTCAGCAAGACCAACGCCTGTATTCTCAGTTGTATAAAACTGAGCAAATCTATTTTCTATAACGAGCTCTTTGGTCCTGTAGTTATTTTTATCTGGCTTACAGAGGGACATAGGTGCCAACTTTGGGTTTTGCCAATGGGTGCTTTTTGTGTGTGCGTGTGTTGCCATGCATACCCAGAAGAGGCAACACGTTACCTCAGCTTGGCATGCCTGACATGGCTTGTGGATGCTGAGCACTTGCAAATTTTTTTTGGTGGGTGCTCAAACCCTGGAGCACCCACGAGTTGGTGCCTATGTACAGGGAAATTAGTCAAGTGAGTTTTATAACATGAGATCTTGTCTACCGAGTACAAATGACAAATAAAAAACGTTGCCTTTGCAAAAATAGGGCCAAGTCAACAGTATTGTCAGACAAGGATATAAGAAATAACTATGAATTTTAAAATAAGTTTACCTGGAGAATCAGTTATGGAAACAGAGTGACTAGATGTTCGAGACAAGCTTTTGAACTTTGGTATTATTCTGTGGGGATGAGGAACTGTAAACAATTGTTTTGGTGTCTGTCCAAACTCTAAGATTTGTGTCAGCAGAGCTACTTTCTCATTTGGGTCCATAATGCTAAAAACAAAAAAGTATTATTATTAACAATACTTAAAAGGCTTTTTTTGTTTGTTTTAAACGTAGGCATTCTGGTTAGAGGGCCTACAGTTAGAGATAACACTCACACTAACAACATTTGAATTACTCCTTCCAAATCTGACTGGTTATTTGCATCATATAAACACCATTATAAGCTACAGCAATTGCAGATACTTTTCTAAAAATGTAGTAATCTTTATCCATAATGGAAGTAATTTAGACTTTGGAGATGCATTGAAATAGCTTAGTCCTTCAATTCAAGCTACATTAAAACCATCAACCTACTAGTGGTTGGCAACAACCTGTGAAACTAAAATGGAATGACTGCTTCAATTGCTGGAAGCACTTGTATTGCAGTAACAAGTAATCTGATATTTAGCAATCAATTTAGCAAGCATTTAATTACCTGTTCAAATCAACTCCTCCTTCATAGGTTAATGGATGAAACACTAGAAAAAGTAAAGAAAGAAGTTTGTACAATGTAGATAAACATACCTAATGTAAAACTGCGTGCATATTTTTAAAATTATGGTTACATATCTCTGCAAGCTCATAGTTAAATACAACTTAATTTATTCAAGCCTTCTGTGTTGGACAATGGAAGAAAGTTCCAGATGTTTTTCCTGATCCTATGCTTTTTACTTGCTCAGTTTTCTACACTTCCCCAACAGACCCAAAGAAGTAGGAAGCATACTGATCAGAAATAGTTATACAACAGTTATCTTTCAGCTGAATCCATCATTGGAAGTAGCCAATCACTGCAAGGAGGTGACTACTTTTGTCACCTACAATTTAAAAAAAAAAAAAAAAAGGAAAAGAAAAAAAGGAAGGTGATCTAATGATTCCGGGTTAATTCAGTACTATGAATGTGAATGATTTTTCCTCACTAGAACTACACAGAGCTAAAGGGTCTGGAAGAGTTGTCAGATCTTGGTCTCTTGCTTCCCTTGTAAATAAACCAGAGGTTCACAACCTTTGGCCGGATCCAGACATGTAGGCACGTACAGCTTATGGCACTAAAAACCTCTGCGGTGCCACAAACCACACGTGTTGCACGTTAAACTGCTTGCCTTGTTAACTAGCAGCACTCGGGCAAAGTATGTTAGCAGGATTTCCCAACAGCAAAAAAACAAACAAAAAACCCGCCAAACAAACCTGGAAAGAAAAAGCAGCGCCAAGTATTGTATGCTGGGACAAAGACAGAGCAGCAGCCAGCCCAGAACTGCTGGCTTCCCCATCTCCATGCATGCAGAGCCCCTGTGCTGAAGCACCCTACACCCCAGCCAGTTGCTCCCTGGCTGGCTGGGGCAGTGTGCCTTGAGATGGGGGAGCAGGCAGCCCTGGCTGGCTGGGATGCAGAGTGATTCGAGACAGGGGAGCAGGCAGCTCCTTAGGCAGGCTGCTCCCCATCTCCACATGCCTCAGCACTGCAGAGCTGAGGCACATGGAGCCCCTGTCTTAAGGCACCCTGTGCCCCAGCCAGCTGTGCAGAGGAGCAGGTTGCTGTGGCACAGGGTGTCTCAAGAAGGGCACTGCAGTGTGCAGAGATGGGGATGTGAGCAGCTACAGGTACTGCTCCCCAGCTGGCTGGGACACAGGGTGCCTCAGCATGGAGACTGCCTGCTGGCTAGCTCTGCACTGAGGCACCCTGTGCCCCAGCCAGCCCCTCCTGTACAGCGACAGGACAATGTGTCCTGCTGCAAGCTACATGAGCTGGGGCATGCACTGCAGCACAAAGTAGCGGCACAAATTTGTGCTGTTGCAAAACACATGTCCCTGCTTGTGTGGACGTGGCCTTTGAGTCTAATGGGGGGTGGGGGGATGGATGGGACTAGAAGGCATCCCTTGGAACACTGTCAGCTCTTAGTTTTAAAATCAGTTTGACTGTACTATGTATTTCTATTTAAAAACCTCTGGATCTATCGTCTTGTGAATAATGTTTACACACCTAACAGTGCTACACCTTTGCAAGGATTTCAAGAAGCTCCAACTGAGAATCACTGAGCGAAACACTCAAATGATGCATATCAAAGAAAAAAAACAAAACAAAAAACTTAGCGCAAAGAATTTTAGCAAACCATGTGCATTTCTTTCTTAAATTAAAGCTACATAAAACTTAAAATAGGGACATAATGAGGCGTGCAGAGAAGCTACTTAGGACAGATAAAGGTATTGACTTGGTAAAAAACAGTATGTTTCTTTATTAGAATACACTGAACATATTAAAGCAGCCAAGGACTCTATTATTTACTTGTCTACTACCCTCCTTGGAATTTCTCTCTAATTGCAGAGCCCTGAAAACTATTTTTAATCTTTTGCTGAGTGTGGTTTTCCCTCATACCTGAAGAATGCCTTGTATTTGAAAGCTTGTTTAAGTCAATACCACCCATGCAGTTGGGATAATAAAAACTATCACAAACAGGAAGCCTTGCCTCTCACATCTTTCCTGAACATCATGGCTACCACATGACTTAAGCACTAATCAAAGCAACCAAGTATACTTAACATCAGATTGTAGGACTACTCAACTGGCAATGTTTAAATGTCCTTATAATAGTTTCCTTCAGAGAACTACTTCATGGAAAAAGACCTGTCAATGCTGCCACTATTTCCAATTACTCGGAACAAAAAACATTTCTTAACATATACAGCATCAATTATCTGGCCTAATTATAGCCAGATGAGAGTAAGACAACTTACTAAATAAGACTGCAAACAAATGGACATAACTGAGCTTATCAAACAATCTGATACTATACAGTAGTCCAAGGAGAAGTCCAGCAACTTACTTAATCTTTCCCTTCTCTCCAGTTCCCTAGAAACCTCCTTTTTTTTTTCTAGGAAACCAGAGTTAACAAAGCTAGTTTTCATGCAGCAGTTTCTGGACAGAAGTGGGAACACACCATCTGTGGGCCAAGTTACAGACTCCCACAGCCCTTTTTAACTGCATGAGATTATATCAGCACCACATTGCTACCAGGTGTCATATCACAAAGAAAAAATGCATTTTCCCCTTAACTTATTCTACGTAGGTGCTGCACAGCATTACCAGAAAGTAAGCAAGCTTCAGGAGTCTCTGTTTCCAGTGAGAAGGAATGCTGCTTCCTCAAGAACTTTGAGAACAAAGTAAAGTAACATTTATGTTGCAAAGAATGCTGGGGAGTTGGTACCACTTTGCTGTTTTTCTCTTTCATATTAATGATTCTCTAAAAGGCAAAAAACCCAAAAACATTAGGAGAATTATAACTTACCATTGTGAGCTCCAATAGCTTCACTTCCTTTTTGCTTGTAGCCAAATATTAAGTCTATCCATTCATGAAGATGTTCTGACACATACTGGCTTTCTAAAGCATCTTGGCACTTCTGAAGAAAGTCATCAGGATCTAACAAATGGAAGTTTAATCAGTACAGAAGGTTACTTGCTTAACATCGATAAACCATTGTGGTCATCCCTGCTGCTCCTCCAGGGAAGCACACTGTAGATATGCTATTAAAATTATCATCTGGCACCCTTCATCTATTTGCCAGCACTGAAAAAAATTAAGAACATGACTTCAAATTATGACCTTGAATCACAAAATAGTCACCTTAGATTACTCCTACATTATTTAGACTAGAACCATGCCTACCTTAAATTATTCCTACGTTTAAATAAGTTGTGTAACTGAAAAAAAACAGGAATATTTAGGATGGGGGTGTGAAAAAAATGTAGAAGTCTGAGAACAAAGATAAGTTGTCTGCAGTAATGAGTTGGTAAACCATCCAAAAATGTCATTACCTGATGCCCATGGAGGAAGTTCTACATCTTCAACCATCTTTCCTCCCTGTCTTTTGCCCAAATCCAGCTTCAAACCATTTACTAGAAAACTGGAATCATTTTCATAAAATTCTGGAATCAGCTGGAAGCAACAAGAGGCAAAAATGGAGATATATTTTATCATTTGAAATTAGTTATATAAACATATTTTAAAAGACTGCTAATGTGTAAAGCATATTACAAAACACTGCAAAGTTCAAACTTAAATTAAAATAAAGTTAAGCCTGGCAAGATTCATCTTAGACACTGAAGAAACTTTCACTAAGCACATCAAGCCAAGGTTTTCATGATCAAGTAAATCTATAATAAATGTTATTTCACTTAAGCCAGTTGTTCAAGATCAGACCTTGACTGTTACTGTTAAGAAAAGCTGCATTGTCAATCCAGTCTCTACTGTCAAAGAAACATAGTTTACTAGCGCTAAGCATGTACCTGATACTTCAAATATCCAGTGACATTTAGCTGGAACAGGAGCTTGGCACAAACACATTCCCTGGCAGACGTTACACTTAAGACACAGTTAACCAATTAAATCAGGTCTTCAGTAGTAACCCAACCGCATGTTCATTCAATTAATGAAATGATAAAACAGGGAATAACCTACAAATTCTTAAACAAAGTGGCTGGATCCCATTGGAATGTGTGGCCAATCAGCTGATCAGGACTTCCAGCCTTGGTAGCATGCTGGATCCCTTGACTCCAATGTGCTCCCAAGGTTGGGAGGGTTCATCAGCTGACTGGCTTACTACTGTACAATATGGCACAATTGGGGTCTGATCCCCAAACTCATAATTGCACCTCCTGCCACATATCTGTAGGATGGCAGGAGGCGCAATTGCTGGGATTGTGGATCATCTCTCATCATGCCTTTAACTGAATGCCTGCCAGGGGCCGTAGCTGCATGATTTTTACTAAAATATCCACATGACAGAACAACAATGATATTACTATTTAACAAGGAGAGAAGGAAAAGATCCAGGCCATAGGAAGCGATGTGTGCCTAAGGAGAGTATTAAATGTCCTCCCCAATATCAAACATACACAAGGCAGTTTTATCTCAGTACGGATGCAGCCCAAAAATTAATTTTGGAAAATAAAATTTTAAGCATAGCAAAATTAGTGAATGCAACTTGAGAAAGCTTCTGGCTACCTACTTCTTTGAAGTCTGTTGCACCATCCAAACAGTTTTTCCAGGTTTCTGCAATACTAGACACAAGAGAATGATATACTGATGCGTCAAATTAATTTCAGAGCTCTCTTACCTAAATTTATATTTTAGAGCAACCTATTTCAGCAGTGAAAAAATCTAATTTTAATATTAAATTTAAACAAACCTGTTGAACGTTCTATCAGCATGGTCAAACTTTCCATTTTGTAAACAAAGCATGTACTCTGGTGCTGGGGAAAGATGAACAGAAATCACATCTATCCAAATTCTATTTTCAAAGATACTTTGTGTGAAAAAAACTTGGTATGAAAGCCATCTTACCAACTCTGACAAGATAAAACAGAACATAACCGGGAGACGAGTAGTGGCTGCCATACATAAATTTTGGCTCTGGCATTTCCCGATAACGTGTCTGCAACATTAGAAGAAAGATATACTGCTTAAAATAGAAATACAGATTTTTTCCCACCTCCCTAGTACAAAACAAGCACACATGCTGTTTTTAAGATTTAAGCCAGGATTAAATACTCTCGTCTCTTCAGTTAAAATGCAGTACACAGTTAGTGAACTATATTCTTATTAATACTGGTTCCTGCGTTCTAGAATATGTAGAAAAGTTGTACGTAAGTAGTAGTAAATTGCAAACAATTACAGAACAGAGCCCAGGTTGGCAGTTTGTTTTTCCTGCATGCTAACGCACTTTCATACGTTTATTGTTAAAGCTCCTTCAGATTTTGAAAAAAATTAAGGGTTATATTGTTTTTTCACCAATCATGATCACAGACCAAAAACTTGGCCAAGTTTCCAAGCAGGTGAAACAGCTTTTTACTCAAGTTAAAAGGAGCAAAACGAGCAATTATTCTGAAGGTAAAGCCTAAGTTTACGATACAGTTGCTGGAAACAAAGGTCTCTCAGTCCTCTAAAACCAAAGCTGCTATATTCAAAATACTTTCTGCAACAAGAATACATTGCTATTTTTATAAATCCATTATCTACTTCAGAGCATATTTAAATCTTGACTTTGAATAGGGGAAAATCCATTCTTAAGAGTAACACTGTTCTTGTGCTTGCTTCACATAATGTGGAACAACCTGTTTGTAGCCTTTATTTTTACTAGTGGAAATCTGAGAATTTCCCAGTAAAATCTTTTCAAGAGATTCAGCCTGCAGCTGCCCCCTCGCCCCTTCTCTCTGTACCTTCAGACTGGGGTGAACCTGGTCTGGGGAAACCATGGAAATCAGTGGCTTCTCCCTTTGTCCCAATCCCTGGGTAAGAAGCAGAGTGGCAGACAAGACTCCCCATGCCTTCTCTAAAACAGGGTGCAGGGACTCAATGGGAAGCAGCCTTCTCTGCTCTACTCCTGGTCTTTGGAAGCAGAGAAGAGAGAGCAGCAAGGTGAAGTCCCCAGTCTGTTCCAAGCCAGGCAGTGCCCAGTCAAGGGATGAGGCAGGGAGCACTGGCAGTTGCTCCCCTCCCTTCCCAGACCAGTCTGGGTGAGGAGGGGAGCAGCAAGGCAAAACCCTTGCCCATCAGAAAAGCAGGCAGGCAACAAGGAGCAGCTACTTGTCTGCTTGCCTCATTATCTAGAAGGGGACTGGAGCAGTGTGGCAATGCCACCTACCTATTCCCCCAACCTGGACAAGTGCAGGGAGCACTGTGTTCTATTGCTTCATTCCTCTCCTAGACCAGACACTATATACAAGTGAAAAATATGTTCCCTTCTAAGGGAGGCTTTGTATGCTGACACCTAAAAGATCCTTCTCCCAGAGTAGCCATGATTCCCCAAAAATAAAGTGAGTGAATGCTTGTACACTCAGTATCTATCAGGAGAGCAACGGTTCTCCCAGAAGAAACCTAACACCTGAACATGGCCAAAAACTTCATTTAGAGCCTCTGCTACTTTAAAACCTCTCTCATTTCTAGCAGTAAAGGTATTATTGTTATGGCAAAATTTTCCTTGTCCAATGCATCTTAGAGCACTAAGGAAGTTAAAGAGTTTGGAAACATACAGATAACTATTAAAGTATGTTTCTACTCTTCAACTGAAGATCCAAGGAACACTTTATTTATACCTGTAAGTAGGGACCACTGTAATTCAGGCTTTGGTGCAGGGAAAAGCAGGCTCACTGGAGCCAATTTCTTGCGTTTTTCAGGGGAGGTTCTCCCACACCTCTGATTGGCTGAAGGAGCCCACCATGGGGCTGATTACCCAGTACACAGGTTGTTCTTCAGCTGTTTTAAGGAAGTAAAGCTCATCACCTATTAAACAAAGCTGACCACTTAGAATTCTTAATGAAACCACAATAATTAAACATTATTAAAAAACAACCTTTGAGTGCCAGCTTTTATGGGATGCTGACCCTTGAAGTCCACTGCTGCAAATTTCCCCCTCCTGTTCTCTCCATGGCAGAGCAGAGAAGGGCTCAGGAGACCCATGCTGTGTGCTTGCCCCCACAGCTGAGCGTGGGATGCAGGGTGCCCCCACCACAGGGGTTTCTCCCCATCTGGCACAGGTCTCCTAAGCCCTGCTCTTCCCCACCATGCAGAGAAGGGGAGTGGAAAACTCCCCGCTGCTCCAACGTGGCAGCAAAGCAAAGTGGGGCTCGGAAGAGCTGTACTGGACAGGGGGAAGCCCCTATGGCAGAAGCACCTTGTGCCCCATGCCCAGCTGTGGGGGCAGGCACCTGGCATGGCTCACAGCCCGTGCCAACATGGGGAAGTCAACAACTTGACTGGCTGAGCCCCACCAGGGGCTCAGCCTGTACTAGGCTGCCCCTGGAAATGTGAGGCTTCAGGTGTTTCTGGGGCTCTGCTGCCTGCCTGCTCCCCCCTCCCTCCCCCATGGTTTTAGTCCATTTCCAGCCAAACTGCAGTTTCCTGGGACTTTGAGGGAAACGCTAAATTTTGGGCTTTCCCCTGAAATCCACTGAAGTCTGAATTACAGTGGTTCTTACCCATAAGAATACACCAGGATTTTCAGTTATGTGGAAAGACAAGAATTTAGAAAGACTATACTAACGATCTTTCACAGTTGTGTGTACATTAGGGCTGTGTGAAGCTTCAGTAGCTGATTTGATTCAGAGGAGATTCGGCAGCTGAATCTCCAAATCCAAATTGAATCGGAAGACCCCGTTAAGAGGTTCAAATTGAATCAGAAGCCTCAGAATCAATTTGGAGAGATTCGTGGCCGATTCGGAGATTCAGCCATAGGCTATGCAAGTTTCCCTTGCATAAAGCAAACCCATTTTATAAATGTAACAAATAGCTATAGGTTCCCAAAGTGGTGAGGGAGGGAGGGAGGGAGTGAGGCTGGAACTAGAAAGAGACGGGGGTGGGGGGTGCCATTCCTGGAGCTGCACCATGCTCTGCCTGTCCCTCCACATCTGGGCTCAGCCTGTCCCCCTGCACCCCAGCTCCTGGGCTGCGCCATGCCGTGGTGCAGGAAGCTGCTGTTGGCTGCTCTCAGGGCTGCTGCAGCAAGTGGATCCCCAGCACAGGACACAGTGCAGATTGTCCATACTCACCCTGGCCCCTGCTGCAGTGGCCCTGGGAGTGAGTGGTGTCAGCTGCAATGGGAACAGTCAGTGGGTGCAAGAGGAGGGATGCGGGGGGAGGACTGGGGCACACCTCTTGCTGCTCCATGCCCCCAGGAGGGCTATGGGCTGGGGAGCGGTGTCGGGCTCTTCCCAGGGGTGCATACCCACAGTTCTGCACATGGGGTGACAACAGATTGCCACTGCAGGCTGGGGCTGGCAGCAGCACTGGGCTGATTCTTCTCGGTGCTCAGGGAGGGCGCACTGAGCCCCGTGCCACCACCGGCCGCAGCCTGCAGCAGCAGCCTGCTGTCGTCCCGCACCAGATCCAGGGGGCAAGCACCCCAGGAAGAGCCCAAGTTCCCCAGCCCTCCCAGGGGGCACAGAGCAGCAAGAGGCATGCCCCCCCCGGTCAAAATTGGCCAAATCCAAATCAAATACCAGCTGCTTTGCAATGGCTAATGTATATATATGTTAGGTTGCTCCAAAAAAGAAAAATTGCTGGTTAAAGTGGTATTGTCCTATACTTTACAGCTAAGTACAAGGGAATATTGCACAGAAATTATGCCACAGTATACTAGATTAAGGTAAAGTTTGTTTCCAGTAATATTTACAGTCCAATTACAGAAAAATCACCCTAGAGGTAATACATCATACAAGCCTGTTCATTCCTATACTGTGTTAAGTTTAATCTTCACACATTTGATTACATAAAGCTAGGAGCTTGGAGTTCTCTTATTACTGAGATGACCATCACAAATTGAAAGAAAATCCAAATGTCACATACCAGTAATCTTTCTAGCCTTTCCTTATTCAAAGCACCAATTGGTTTACTAAGGTCCCGGAATGTTTCAGGCTTTGTCAAATCTGAAAGAGAAATGCAATTAAATTTTATAAAAAGCACTTTTTCATCCTGTCTCTACTTGCAGAAGAACAAAAGAGTCTCACAATAAATGGCTATTTGTGCTCTTAACATCAGTGTTTTACTTGCTTACTGAAGAGCCTTACACAACAGAAAGCTTTGAAGTTGGGTTTTGTTAGTACGAGTTCCGCAGCGCTGGGAATTAGGCAAACATCACACACTCTCCATATGACCTCAATAACATTAAGGCACAGCTAACTGCCACATTTCTCCTCTGCTCCTTAAGCAACTTGACATTATTTTATTGTGTCATGACAACACTTTGAAAGGAGGTGTGAGTGGTTGCTAGAAACACCATTAGATTCCCCTTCTTTCCTTCTATACAGCAGGCAAAGACATGTCAGGCCTATTAAATGGCAGAGGCAGCCAGATTCTCAAGAGAGTAAACTGACGGCAACACAAGTTTGCTATGAGAGATTTACCCAGGAAACCAATAGTATTAAATTCTGTCATACAGATTTAGGCATTAGACCTTTCTGAGCATTTCTGGAGAAATTAACCTCATATTTTGGCAACATCTTGATTCGATAAGTTTTTTTTAATTAATTATTTTTTTAAATTCATGCAAGACTAATAAACCATTGCTATCAACTCACTGGAAACAAATCATAGGGGAAAACAAAATAAACTTTTATCAGGCATTTCACTTTTCTAGAAAGTTGACACTTAGTACTTCTATTAAATATTACTTCATTTTATGGATGGGATAATCAATCCCAACATACCTTGCTTTAGAAAATATAAAAGTGTAAGAATAAAAAAATATACATAGAGATCAGCATCCTTTGTCAACCTCCAATTTCTTGTTGATGTTGCTTGTGTTTTAGGTGATGTAAAAGCAGCAGTTCTTACATCAAGTGCAGCTTTCTTATTATTAAAAAAATACAAAGAAGAATATTTGCTTACCTAATTCTGAACTAGAATAATCTGCTATGATCCAAGGAAATACAGGATACTGAGATAAATCATTGCAGCTCCGATCAGCCAGATTGTTGAGATGAAGAAGATATTGGTAATTTGAAATATGCCCTCGCTGCCATTGCAACATGTAACTTTCAGCTGTGTGTTCTGCAATATGGTTTTCTATAAAAAAAGAAAAATCACACAGTAAAATCTTTGTTTAGCTGGTTTCCATTTTAAGATACTTAACTCCAAAGATACTTAACTAACTATGCTAATTATGCTCCCAATCATTTATCCAAGCATAATAATTTAAAGGGTCAGATTAAAACCTACGGCAACTATACACTTCAATTCCTATTATACAAGGTCTTTCCAAAAAAAGCTAGTCAAGTGATTGTAAACATCTTATATTAGAAGAGAAGAAGCAATTCTAGATGGAATCCTGAACGAATGAATGAATAAATATATCAGTGGGACCATTACATGACCAGAGTGTAAAAGATGCATTCAGGGATAAGGTCATAGCAGAGAAACTAAAAGAATTCTTTGCACCAGTTTTTAACACAGAAGATACTGAAGAAATTCCCATGCCAGAACAATCCTTCCTAGTAAATAGGACTAAAGAGTTGGACCACACTGAAGTGACAACAGACGTTTTAGAATGAATTGATAAATTAAATGCTGTAAGTCACCAGGACTGCATAGCATTCACTCAAGAGTTCTCAAGGAACTCAAAGGTGAAGTTGTAGGAACTGCTGGCAATAGTATGTAAACTATCATTAAAAACAGTCTCTGTGCCCAAGGAATGTAAGGTTGGGAACATAGCACTCAACTTCAAAAAGAGCTCTAAAGAGCACCAGTTAGTCTCACTTCTATCCCTGGCAAGTTGTAGGATCCAAAATAAAGAATAAAAATCAGTTGCATGGACAGAAGTAATCTGTGCTGGAAAAAAAAAAAGTCTGTGTTTTTGTAAAGGGATATCCTGCTTCACAAATGTGCTGAACTTTTTTTTTTTTTTTTGAGGGTGTTAGCAAGCAAGTGGAAAAGGGGGATTCCATTATAAAATCATAGAAAATGAGGGTTGGAAGAGACTTCAGGGGGTCATCTAGTCCAACCTCCTGCTCAAACCAGGACCACCCCACCTAGTTCAACCCAGCCAAGGCTTTGTCTACCCAAGTCTTAAAAACTTCCAAGAATGGGGATTTCACAACCTCTTTCAGTAATCTGTTCCAGTGCTTTATTACACTTCTAGTGAGAAAGTGTTTCCTAATATCTAATTTAAACTTTGTTTGCTGCAACTTGAGACCACTGGGCACCTATACACAAGCAGGGAGGCTGCTCTGACGTTCTGGAATCCCAGTGCATCAGAGCAGACTCTGTTAATCAATTGCTGAGCTCCAACAGCTTCCCATGTCTTGTGCATCAGTGTCCCCATGCTTAAAAATAGCAGCAAGGGCACAAACTTCAGATGTGCTTTAATTAGAGCAGCTCTGGGAGCCTCTCTAAAGCACTACTCCCCCAACCCTGAAGCATGTGTAAAAGTGCCCAATGTCCCTTGTTCTACTACCACTGAGAAGAGTCTAGCTCTACCCTATTTGTAGCCACCCATCAGATAATTGAAAGCTGCTATTAAATCCCCCGCCCACATTCCCAGTCTTCTTTCTTCCAGACTAAATAAGCCTAGTTCCCTCAGCCTCTCCTCAGAAGTCTTGTGCCCCAGCCCCCTAATCATTCTATCACCCTCTGATGGACTCTCTTCAATTTATCCAAATCCTTTCTATAGTGGGGGACCCAAAACTGGACATAGTACTTCAGATGTGGCCTAAGCAGTGTAGAATAGAGGGGAATAATCACTTCACTTGATCTGTTGGCAACATTCATACTAATGAAATCCAGTATGCCATTAGCTTTCTTTGCAACAAGGGCATGCTGTTGGCTTCTATTCAGCTTACTTTCCACCATAACCCCCAGGTCCTTTTCTGCAGAGCTGCAGCCCAGCCAGTCAGTCCTCAGACTGGATCAGTGCATGGGATTGTTCAGTCCTAAGTGCAGGACTTCACCCTTGTCCATACTGAACTTAATGCCATTTTTTTTGGTCCAATCCTCCAATTTGTTGAGGTCTCTGAATCCTACCTGTACCTTCATCAAATCTACTATTCCCCACAGCTTGGTATCATCTGCAAACTTGCTCCATCCCATCTTCCAGGTCATTGATGAAGATATTGAACAAACCTGGCCCCAGGACCAATCCTTAGGGCACTCCACTTGATACCGGCTGCCACCTAGACATTGAGCCATTGATTACTACTCCCTGAGCCTGGCAATCCCACCAGTTTTCTATCCACCTTACAGTCTATCCATCTAACCCAAACTTCTATAGTTTACTTGCAAGAATATTGTGGGAGACTATATCAAAAGCCTTGCTAAAATCAAAGTATATCATGTCCACTGCTTTCCCCACATCCATATAGCCAGCCATCTCATCATAGAATGCAATGAGGTTGGTCAGGGCCTTGGTGAATCCATGCTGATTGTTCCTAATCACCTTCTCCTCCACATGCTTAGAAATAGATTCCTTGAGGACCCACTCCATGATTTTTCCAAGGACTGAGGTGTGGCTGACCAGTCTGTAGTTTTCTGGATCCTCCCTCTTCCCTTTCTTAAAAACAGGCACTACATTTGCCCTTTTCCAATTCTCCATGACCACTCCCAATTGCCACAAGTTTTTAAAGATAATGGACAGCATTTCTACAATCACACTGGCCAACTTCCTCAGCACCCCTGGGTGCATGTCTGGTCCCATGGACATATTTTTTCACCACCGTCAGGTGCTCACCTCCTCCCCAAACTGCTGCCATGTGGTAGTCTGGGAGTTGACCTTGCCTGTAAAGACTGGGGTGAAAGAGAGAGGCATTGAGTACTTCACCCTTTTCCACATCATGCTACTAGGTTGCCTCCCCCATCCAGTAAGGGACTTACACTTTCCCTGATCTTCCTCTTGTCAATGACATACTTGTAAAAATCTCTTACCTTTCATGTTCCTTGCTAACTGCAACTCCAATTATGCTTTGGTCTTCCTGATTTCATCCCTGCATGCCCAAGCAATACTTATATTCCTCCCTAGTTGTTTGTTCAAGTTTCCACTTCTTGTAAGCTTCCTTTTTGTGTTTTAGCTCACTGAAGAGGTCCCCTGTTAAGCCAAGCTGGTCTTCTGCCATACTAGCTAAGCCTTTCTACCCATCACTTCCCTGCATCTGCTGTCTCTGTCCTTCCTTTCCTCAGAATCCTAAACTCGAATCATCTCGTGGTCACTGCTGCCCAAGCTGCCATCCACTTTTATGTTCCCCACCAATTCTTCCCTATTTGTGAGCAGTAGGTCAAGAACAGCATGCCCCGCAGCTGGCCTCTCCAACACTTGCTGCCCCCACCCTTTCCAAAAACTTCCTGGATTGCCTGTGTATTGCTGTACTGCCCTCCCAAAAGATGTCACGTTGACTGAAATCCCCCACGAAAACCAGGGCCTGTGATTTGGAAGCTTCCACTAGCGGTTTAAAGAAATCCTCATCCACCACATCCTCCTGGTCTGGTGGTCTATCAAATACCAACCATGACATCATCCTCACTGCTCCTCCCTCTGACCATAACCCAGAGACTTTCAACAGGCCTATCTCTAGTTTCATACTGAGGCTCTGACCAATTATACAGCTTTTACATAAAGCACAACTCCTCCTCCTCCTCTTCTCCCCTGCCTGTCCTCCTTGACCAGTTTGTACTCAACCATGACAGTGCGCCAGTCATACAAGCTATTCCACCCATCACATCATAGTTCCATGACTGCGTGAGAACTTGCAGTTCTTCCTGCTTGTTCCCCAGGCTCCCTGCATTCGAGTACAGACATTGGAGGTAACTACCCAACTGCCCTACTTTCTCAGGAAGAATGAAAAGGCCTCTGCTGTTGACCCCCCCTGCTTGTGCTTCCTCCAGGCCACCTACTTCCTCACTTACTTCAGGACTTTGGTCTCCATCCCCTGGCAAACATAGTTTAAAGCCCTCCTCATTAGGTTCTATTATACTGATATAATATATTTGGATTTTCAAAAAGCTTTCAATATGGTCCTTCACCAAAGACATTTAAAAAAACTGCATTGCCACAGGATTGAAGGGAAGCTTCTTTTGTGGACTGAGAGCTGGTTAAAAGGCAAGAAGCAAAGTGTAGGGCTAAATGGTTACTTTACAGAATGAGAACGGTTAAAAGTGAGGGACATGAAGGGATCTGTGCTGAGCCCAATTTTATTAAACATTTTCATCAAGGACCTGGAAATGGGGGTGCAGAGTGAAATCTCCAAGTTTGCAGATAATACCAAATTATTCCAGGTAATCAAATCCCAAGGTGATGGAAAGGAGCTGCAGAAAGATCTCACCAAGCTAAGAGTGAGCAAAAATGGTGGAAGGACTTCAGTTATGACAAGTTCAAGGTAATGTATATGGGGAAAAATAACTTGAACTATATGTACACAGTGCTGGGTTCTGAACTAGCTGTTACAATTCAGGAAAGTCCTTGGCATTATTGTTTTTAGAGAACTACCTACATCAGCTAAACATGCAGGGGTAACCAATAAAAGCCAGCAAGTTGTTGGATATCATCAAGAAGTGAACTGAAAACAAAATGGAGAATACCATTATGCCATTATACAAATTTATTGTGTGCCCACATCTTGAATACTGCATGCAGTTTTGGTCTCTGCATCTCCGAAAGATGGTAGAAGAATTAAAAAAGGTACACAGAAGGACAACCAAAATGAACAGGAGGAGAGAGGATTTGCCATACCAGTAGAGACTAAAAAGGCTAGAACTCTTCAATTTGGAAAGGAGAAGGCTGGGGGGGGCATGGGACAGGCAGCAGGAGCAGCAAGGAGATGTGGACAACATGGACGGAAGCATTATTTAGCAAGTCCCAGAATACTAGAATAGTGGTTACCCACTAAAAATGAGGTGAACAATTTAAAACCAACAAGAGAAAGTACTTTTTTATGCAATGAGTAACTAACTTATAGAATTCATTGCAGCAGGAGATGGTAGAAGCAGATAGCATAGCCAGGGTCAAAAAGGGACTAGGAAAATGGACGGATGATAGATCTATTAATAGCTGTTGAACAGAATGATTCGACATTTTCCTCTGGCATCTCTTAACCAATAATGGTGAATGCCAGGCAGGGTAACGAATGGAGATAGATTACTCCAGGGACATGCAGTTCGATGCTCTCCCTCTAAAGCATCCAATCTTGTTATAATCAGAGACAGGCTTTTGGGCAGATGGGCCATTGGTCTAGTTCAGTATGGCACTTCTTATGTAGCAGAAAACATCAAGGACTCATTGAATGGAGAGGAAGGAAAGACTATACATTTGTTAAGGTAAGAAAATAACAGAACATGAATTACCTTTAAGAGTCTTACATTTAAGAGTCTAAGTCTCTATTCTCTAAGAGAGGAATTCACTTTACAGCTGAGCAACTAAGGATACCTACTTGACATATGGTTGGAAAATGTGGCCTCATTTTACTATAAATGACATCTTATTTCAGGGACACCAAGACAAATAGAAAGCATGAAAACAGAACATCACCAGCACACAGGAAGGAGGAAGTTTACCAAAAGGACTAATCTGTCCAGAAATTCTGAACTGCCCTAATCCCACAATCAAACAAAAAAGTTCTAAGTGTGGATATGTAAGGAAAACTCTTAAAGGAAAAAAACTGACTGAGCTGACAGAACATCTCCAGATTGCATTACTGTTGTCCCTTTTGTGGCATTGGCTATATCTGATCAAGTCTAAATATATATACTTGAGGAGTATGTGCTAATTGTCATCATGGCATCCCCAAGAATGAACATGCACAGGATTTACTAGACATGAGGACTGAGTTTCTATGACTTCCACTAAAACACCTCCAATAAATAAAGGTCAGCTCAGCTGTATGTTATCCCATGCTATGAAAGCAAAGTCCATTAAGCGCTTCTCACCTTGAAGAGTTAGTAGCAAGTTCATTAACCAGAAAAAAAACCTCCATACTTTCACTAAAGCACTATTATCTGAGCTTTCATATATAGTTCTAATAATAGAAGAATATCACAAAGTAGCTACAGGCAGCACTGTAACATTCATTTCAGACTTTGCCAGAATATATTTTTAGACATGTCAGGTCACAACTATTTAATTTTTCTACTTTCTCCCACACATCAAAACAGAGTTTAAGCTGTTCCTCCCCACCCTGTAGCCCTTCCCTGAGAAGGGAGAACATTTAAAAAAACCAAAAACAGTGCACACCTAAATACGTTGCAATATAGAAATACAGCTCATCTCGATCTTGAGGGTTGTAGAATTTTAAGTAGATGTCAGAACAGAGGTCATTTTCTGTGCAAAATACTTCTAGTCCCTTAGAAATTCAAGGAAGAAAAAAATTAAAGTCTAAAATTCAACAATAGCACATTAGTGACTGATTTCAGTTACTGATCTTAGGTTACGGTTGTTCCCATTGAATTTGGCAGCAGTTTTGTCCAAGTATTTTGCTATTTATAAATATTCCTCCCCTGCCCACACAAGAGATTGAAGTCAGTTTAAGGACTCCACATAAAATATGTCCTATAGGACAGAACCAAAATAAGCCCTTTGGATCCATCAGGCATGTAGCTGGGAAAAAACAAAAAAAAACACCCCCCACAAAAACTGAAAACAAAAAAAAAAACCCACTCAACCAACCTTCCCCCCTAGTTTTGTTAAAAGTAGACCTTCCATTTATATCAAGTTAAAAACCAGAACTGTGAAAGAATGCAACTAGGACTCCACGGCTAAACTTTGTACCACCTCTTTCCCATTCCTCACAGTCGTATCACATCACATAATGCAATTTCTTCCCTGTTCACTGAAGTTGTATGGCATCTTTCAGCTGACATTTACTAATACAGTTACAATGCAAAGGAATATATTGTTTGAAAAGTCATTAGGGATGCCAATGTTTAATAAGCCGACCACGTATTTCAGCTTTCTGAAGCCAGTGAATTCACTGTGTAGTCCCAAAGACATTATGATAATTGGAAGAAGTCGGTCTTACTTCACTGCAGAACTGCACTACAGATTAAAAGAACGTGGGAATACGATTAAGTTTTGATCCCAATTCACACATTAAATAAAAAATTTTAAGCAACTTTTTACCAGCCTTATCACTTGGCTTAGTTTTCAATTACACCAAACTGAAATAATCAATGTAGCCATGAAAGAGGTCCCCTTTATCCTCCAGGTAGATAGTCTGCAGTCTCTCTCTGCTTTTGATTTCTACTTTGTCAACACAATGAGAATAAAGACATTCTAAGCAGCAAAGAGAAATGCAGGCCTGTACTTCTAAAATACCTCCCCCGCTTCCGCCCCATCAACTAACACCTGCAATTTCAGAGAAAGTCTGACTGGTATTAGCAATGCATGTAACTAGAAATAAAAACCTCCAGCTTACCACTGGCATTAGACCATGGCGTCTTTTATAGATGCGACGGACATTGTGCAATGTTATTTGCACCACAGGTTTCTGTAGGATAAAAATTAAGAAAAAGTGCCAAGGCCATTAGTGCTACATAGGTAGTACTACACTAATCAATTTTAGAATTATGAAGGTTTTTCTCTATTGGAGAGATATAACATCTGATATCATTTGCATACATCATTCTTATTCCTCTGCCACTAAAGAAATAGTTACTTTAATAATAACTATTTTGCTATTGCCAGCTGTTTGATCTTAAGGGCAAGTTAAGTGGCAACTCCATTGCTTATTTCTAACCTCTGTCCTAAAAGACACTAGTCAGAGATATAGTAGACAAAATGAGGAAATTGTCAGAATATGGAAAGAGTCAGCTTCCTAGCTAGTGATACCACCTTATGGACAAACATGAAATAGCATTTCTAATGTAAAACACCAGATGGCAGTGGATCATACATACTTCATCATTCTGCATTCACAATATACCCAAGATCTGTTATAAATCTCATTCTAAGCTTACAATAGTGCTTGTCCTCTACACTGTATGTGAAGAGACTATGCAAATTTGAGGAAAACAGCTATACATTTTTCATCAGCATCCAAGAAGATTTAACCTGGCTCTTTATCATGTGTTCTTATAGCAGGTTTTCTTATGAGGAATAAGTTATATTTTTCATAGGAGAGCTGGATGGAGAAGCCATACATGTATTTCCTAGCTAATTACTTACTGGATACCCATTCAGAGGTTGGAAATACAGGTTTGCATCGGTGACACACACATGACCTGGATTAGTCACTAATGGCGTCACCATTTCTGCTTCACATTCCATATGTAAGGTTTCAGAAATGCTCTGAAATCTATAAGAAAGCAGGAATAAGTTTACCAGTCTTTGTTCCTGCTTAACTGAAATGGTCTTTTAAACTGCTCTAGAAATATTTTTATGAGCACCTTACTGAATACCTAAAAAAAAAAGTACCCTGAGAATATTTAACAAAGTTCTTTCCTCACAGTTATTTTTCCTTCTGATGAGCACAAAATTCTTACACCTCTCTACAATATTCCGATGCAGCTATCAAGTCTGTGCACTGGCAGCTCCACACACACACCCCATTTCATTTTTCAAAAATTTTACATTTGTGCCAAATAACTTGCGAATTAAAAAGAAAGACATTTTGAAGTATAAATTGTAAGATTTACCTTGGATACTGGAGGACTTACTATCCTCTATGGCAGGGCTGCCTAACTTCAAAGTGGCTGGGAGTCACATACCCCAGAAGCCACACTAGCAGAGGCTGCACACCCCACAGGCTGCACCAGGGTGATCCAGGCCCACCCAACCCCACACCCAGGCCCACCCGAACCCACCCCCAGGCCACACTC